GTTAAATCAGATCATAGACCTCTGGTGTACCTATTTTCAATGAAAAACCCATCTTCGAAACTTATGCGTATGAGGTTAGACTTGGAAGAATATGATTTCGAAATTCAGTATAGGTATAAAAGGAAAGGATAATGTGGTAGCTGACGCACTGTCTAGAATTACAATCGATGATCTCAAAAATATGACGTCAGAAAATCACAAAATCTTAGCAATTACTAGGTCAATGTCCAAAAAACAACAACCAATCCTGCGTGATGAACCCAATGATAACTCAAATAGCCATACTCAAATAGCAACTGATGAAGTTTCCAGAATAATATTGACAAATGATAATTATAATTTAATTAAGATTCCTTCATTAAAATTTATTTTTAAGCCAAATAATCTAAGGATTGTTGTGGAAAAATGTGGGAAAGAGAAATTCAGCGCTGAAAACAACATAATGTTTCACCAATGACAATTTTTCCTTAGGGAAAATATTGTCTCAGCTTCAAATTATGGCTGGTGAAAACAATTTGCAAAAATTAAAATTAAAAACAAATGATGGAATATTTAACACGTGCTCGTTAGACGATTTTCAATTAGTAGGACAAGATTATTTAAACAACCTGAAAATATTTTTATACTGTGACCCCAAAATAATTTATGATGACGACGAAAAATACAAACTTATAGAAAAATGTCACGATAATCCTCTTTTTGGGGGTCATTGCGGTCAAAAAAGACTTTTGAAGAAACTAAGAACAAAATATCGATGGAAAAACATGTCACGTGATGTTGCAAACTACGTCAAACAATGCCGGAAATGCCAGATAAATAAAAGCAAAATCACCCATAAAGAACCCATGGTCATAACACCTACGCCACAGCAAGCTTTCGATATAGTATGCATAGATACGATTGGACCATTTACTAAAAGCGATAAAAACAACGTTTACGCCGTAACTATGCAGTGCGAATTAACCAAATATCTGGTAGTCGTACCAATTCCAAATAAGGAAGCGTCAGCTGTAGCTAGAGCTATCATGGAAAACTTTATTTTGGTTTTTGGCCCCATGAAAGAAATTCGAACGGATATGGGAACCGAATATAAAAATGAAGTTTTGAAGAAGTTGTCTAGTTTACTAAACATCAGCCATAAATTCTCAACAGCTTATCACCATCAGAGCATTGGCAGCTGTGAGAGAACTCACAGAGTGCTGAATGAATACCTTAGATCGTACATTGATGACACATGGACAGATTGGGACAATTGTCTTAAATATTTATTCATTTTGCTTTAACACCACACCGGGAGTTTTGCATAACTATACGCCTTTTGAACTTGTTTTCGGAAAAAATCGTGAAATTCCTGACGAGCTGACAAGTAAAATTGATCCGGTCTATAACATTGACGCTATTTACCAGGAAGTTCGCCAAAGGTTTCAATTTTCTTTAAGGCGAGCTAGGGATTTTCTGATCAGATCAAAGAAGAAACGAAAAACTGAGTACGATAAAACATCTCGAAATCTCGTTTTGCAACCAGGTGACTTTGTTATGATTAATAATGAAAATCGAACAAAACTCGATTGATTAGTTCACATGGTGTAAATTGTAAAGTGAGAAGTGAAAATGGAAAGGAAATTATAGTGCACAAAAATAGAGTGCAGAAGTACTGCCAAAAGTGATTCTTTAATTCTATATAACTTCATGATACCATATCTATTTATATTATTTTATTTTATTTAAAACCATATATAATTATACTGTAAAGCCAATATTAGCTTGAAGCAATAATTTGTAATATTAATGTTGAAATGCTTCACAATCATTTTCATTAAGGGCGAAGGAGCACGCCACACATTTAAGTAGGTAATATTAATTAATTTATATTTTTATATGTATGTACCAAATAGTTATTTTACAATTTTATGCAATATATTGAATACTGTAGATGTTACTTTAGAAATAAACATTCATAAAAGGTTTAGGCTAAATCCAAATTTGGAGCAGTACAGCTTCCCGACAAATAGGACAAGTTGTATGTTTGAAACGAATGTATTTCATTATGTCCAAATGAAATCCATTCTTTCGAACGGGGAAGATGTAAGGCCACCAAATATGGTTTATATATTTCATTGATATAGCAACTAAATCTAGGTCATATGCGTTATTGTAACAATAATAATAGATTGTTATACTCGTGTCCATCATGTTTTTTATCATATATAATAAATCAGTCTATTCCGAACCATGAAGAGTATTATTTGACCACACCGATTCACCACACTTTCTACAATGTATTGATATTTTGGTAGCGTGAATAATTCTGTTACATCTTAAAATTTCGTGGTAAATTATGCTGAAAAGTAAATTTGACCTGATGCAGTATATAGGGTTGCCAGACCTCCTATTTTTAATATGAGACTCATATATTTTACCTGTTTCTCATATCTCATATTGGCATCTTTAATATGAGACTATTTCTCATATATTTTCATCAAAAAGTAAACAAAACAATAAACCAATTCTTAATTTGCGTTTTAAGCTTCGTCGATAATGGATATTCAAATTCAAACATGGCATCGAATTAATGTTGCCGCTTCTATAGATAAAAAATAAAAATAAAAGTAAAAAAAAAACAAAGCGATTTTGGAACCCATTAATATAGGTGCAACATTTTGGTGAATTTAGCCACACGCGGAATATCCTTTGGCATCCTTCGTAGCTTCGCCTGTCTGCTCCCCAGACTCTTTTGTTGTCCCAAACTTGTCAATAATTGAGACTGACGGATCAGGAGGAGTATCTAACTACCTGAAAGAATGTCGTTCAGCAATACAATCCAAAATCTACTAAAAATCATAGCTAATTGTCAAGTTAGGAGCTTTTTCGGATTTGGGAATTTTGCAGTACATAAAATATTCTCATATATTATTATCCAATCTCATATAATTTTATACAGGATTTCCCATTTTCCAAATTCAAGTATCTGGCAACCCTAGCAGTATATAACAGTTTTCTGAACTGGAGGCAATTTGAACGAAGTCTTTTTTCTTCTCCTCTTGGAGTGGTTATTGAAAGGTGTTACCACTTACCACTTTTCTGCTGAAGCTGGAAACACCTTCTCTAACCGCACAAACCGGCACGTATGATCTTTCTACACCACCACCAGTGTTTTAATGGGAATTTTAAAATCAGAAAAAAAAGACTAATTTTGAAAGATTAAAATTAATTTATTTAAGAGTGAAAAGAAAAGCTAATTATTTAATTAGATAAAAAAAGGTTAGGTAAAACATTAAAAAAATTAAAATACCTTATTTAATTAATAGACCATCAACAATTTTCAATTGAAGAAAAATTAAAAACAATTAAAAGAAAAGAGGATAATTTCCCATTTAAAAGATTTAATTTAAAATCTGAGACTTTATTGGAAATTTAAATTAAAAAAATAACTATCACCTCTTTGGAGAGCTTTCACTAAAACACCGGGCGGCAGATGAACTAGCGGATGAGGAGCGGATCGAGAACTCGTTGAGACTTTGCGACTTAATTTTCCGGCGATTACTCGTGATAAAATCTAGTGGCGAATTGACGATAACTGAAGTTATGTGGCCTCTACATCTGCTTAAATAAGCGAAAGGAACCACCCTCTGGGTACCATTTAAGAAACCCATTGGCTTCTCTCAGTACCGGACTTGCGAGAATCGAGGATCTCCATACCCTCTTAGCTTCCAGCGATTCGCTGAAAGTACCCTTTGGTTTTTTGCCGTGTTCCCATTGGTTCTTAAGTTTATTCAACCTTTTCTATTCAAAGTACTCAACCCTGTGATCCAGTTTGATGGCTCTCCAACAGAGTTCGCTACTTACATGTTGTCAAATTATTAATTGAGCATTTACTGTTTTCCCTTTTAATTGAAAATCTTTCCCTTTTCTAATTACCTAATTAAATGTATAAAATAAAAGTTTCCTAAATTCTAACCTAATTATCAAGGGTGTGAAATGGTCTACACATGATAAACTAAAATCTCTACTAATATAATAATAAAATAATCTTAATCTACCTATATCTTAATTATAACTAAGTATTTGACTATAGTAATAACTCTTGATAATTATATTATCATTATACAATTGGTTATTGCATCTTAAAAATCCAGCTCATGTAATTATTGCTTCGTCACACACATACATATGCTTCGGATATAATATATCATTCTGTGCAACGCTATCGATTACCTGACATCTGGATTCGTTATAAAACGTGGGTCAGAGTTTATTCTTGACTTTGAATAAATTATTACAACCACATAGGATCTGGTTCAGTCGACAGATTAGTTTAAAGTTTTGGTGTTTATCTCGGAAAACATAAATTTTGCCTACATATTTGTCAATTTTGGATTACAGCAATAATAATGTTGAAGCTATAAAATTCGATACTTTTTTGGCTTTCAAGTGCTTTTTACCCTCGAATAGATAAGGCCTTTCGCAGAACTTCATATGTTTGTAAATTTCATCATAGGGTCACATTTCAACTATCTATAAAAATAAAACTTTTCCCACGAATAATGAATTTGAATCGAGAATATAAATTTGTTATTGATTTTGTTACACAGTATAAAATTTATCAATATTTGTAAGAAATAAAAAAGTCGAGATATTGGCTCTCGCCATCGAAAAGCTTCAATAGTTGTACAATGGTACAACATATTCTTCTATAATGATTTAGACTGCTATGGTGAGTTCTTCAAACTAAAAGACTGAGTAATTTTTCTAGGTTTTACTAGAAACATTTTAATTTTCACTAGTTACCTAGATAAACATATATTAAAAAGTATATTATGCAAACGAAACTAATTAATTAGGTATAAATACAATATTTTTTGACACAAGTGTTCTCAATAATATAGTAGTATAGCCAAGCAGATTCAGTTTACCTCAAATTAGTTTGAGGTCAGTTTAGTATTCGAAGTTTATAATTTCGATAAAGCATGAAGTAAATTGTATTTAAGTTATTTTCTTAGGTGTATGGAATTGGAACCAGAATTCACCTCTCCACTACAATCTGTGGCACTGACAACAAAGTTCAAATCTTGGAGTTGTTGCCTATGCATAGCCAAATATTACACTAAGGACGAGATACTAACTCACATACTCAAGAAACATAACATTGATGCGCAATACAAATGTTCTTGGTGTGCCTTTAAGGACGATCAAGAAAATGTTTGTAGGGAGCATTATGAAGAGAAACATCCTGACAATGAGTTTGATATTATTCTGGTTTACAGAGAGGTAAGATTGATTCAACATTGTTTTCAATAAGTTTATTAAATATTATATTAGACTGAAGAAGAACCCCTGGAAGATACAAGCATAACTCCATTCGATACAACCCCCCTATGGCAACGTGATAAACCGAGAGTACATCACATCAGAGGAATACTCTTTGACAAAAATTCGCCCAAAAAGAAATTCTCGATTCTAAAAACATCACCTGTTGCATCTACCAGTTCTGCTAAGAAAATGCCTAGTTCCGTGTTTACGAAACGTTGGATTTCTGACAAAAATGTTGATGATAGTATTGATGTAGTTGCCAGAGGTAGGTTATGGAGTAAGTAGGTCAGGGAGTGGAGCTTTCAGACTGTTGTTTCTGGAGTCTAAAGTCTAAATAGTTGGGAAAAAGGCACCTTTCATCATATTTTTTGTAGATTTTTTTAATTTCTTATTTTTTTTTGTCGGTAATCGGTAATTAATAAATTAATCGTTTTGTTTTCAATTTAGATCTTACATGACAAAAAATATGATGAAAGGTGCCCTTTTTTTAACTGTTTGGACTTGGGACTTCGGAGACAACAGTCTGAAGCTTGAGAAAGGATAAATAAATGTCCGAAACGTTGCCGAAAACTAGATAGTTTTTTTTTTAACAAGGACACGAAATGAATACAAAGTAAATTATATTTTTCTGTTTTATTTAGGTATTGCTGAAACTGATCAAGGGAAACCAGGGTCTAGTGGTATTTCTATAGCCAAAACTATTTCTCGGCCAGTTGTAGATGATAACGCTTCCACTTCGAATAATTCATTTGTAGTTTCTACTGAAAACACTCAAAAGAGATCTGCTGGGCATTTTATTACCAAGACGCCTCCAATCACACTTGAATTAAAAAATAAATCTGGACAAAAACCCTCCATTTCATCCGAAGTTTCGTCTAGTCAACCAGTAAATATCGATAAATGCTTTTCAAATCCTACGAACCCAGATGAAACGTTGAAATTGGATAAAGTTATTAATAATGCACCGGAGAAAAAAATTACCATTACTACAACTAATCAGGATGCCAGAATTGACTCAGATGAATTTGATGATGTGATCATTGCAGGTAATTTATAAAATTTGTTTTACTCTGGAATGTAAACTTTTAACATTAAAATTTAAACAAAAAATATCTTTCAGAATATGATTTGCATATGTGCTCTATGCTCATCATCTTGTCTCAAAATTGATCTCTTTCTATCTCTGTACCTCAGAGGTAAATTGTATTAAGTCAATATTATAATCGAAGTTTGGTTATGTCGGATGTAAACAACATTGTTTTGAAAGAGTCAAAAAAATTTCAAAAAACTTGCCGATTTTGCAAAAAGAAAGTCGTTTTTGCACTGAATTGTGAAAAGTGTTATACAAGTTTCCACCCCAATTGTGGAGTTCAGGCTGGAGTTGCAGATTCTGCAAATAAAGTAACCTGTTGCAGTGCACCTGAACAAGTACCAAGATGGCGGGCGAATCGGATTGTGAATCTGAGAGCGGTACTAAAGATGGGAAAACTACGGGTTTTCAATGTTGTGTTAAAAAAAATTGTAGTGTGTGCGTGTGCATAAACTGTTTCGCAATATATCACAATAGTTGTGTTAAGCGGTTGGGCAAAATAAAAAGAGTAATCGACGAAACAAAAATTGTTTGCTGCACGTCGGAAGATTTGGCGGATAACGACAAGACCGAAAGTAAGTTGTTTGCAATTGAAAAGGATAAAATGAGTATGGAAATCGAATATCTCAAGAAAATGCTTAATGAGATGGCCGATAAGAATAATATTTTAAAAGAAAACAACGGTTTATTGATTGGAAAAATAAGTAACCTAGAAAATCATAAACAAACATTTCCTCTACCACGACCTTCACTCATGACAGGGGCCACGGCCACCTGTCTGAAGTTAGACGCTTCACCTAGAAACCAAGGCCGAGCCCACAAAGCTGTTTCTAGTAAAACCTGTGCGGCTGCTGGTACTCTGCCGGTTCAAGCAGCAACATCGCAACGGCCACGACAGAAAGAAGAAGGTGACATTAACCTCATTCAAAACCGAGACGAAAACGTAAACATAAACATAAATCAACACTTGCTGTTGAAACCTCGGTGTATGCAGCTGCTCGATCTCGGGACGTTCCCGGAAATCTCGGTGAAAATTGGTGAAAATTGCCCTTCAAGAGGATTGGTGAGTTCTACTAACATTACCATTCACACTTTTCATCCCATTTTTCATCTAATCACTTCAATTCATTTTAACAAAAGCATTTATTAATTTTCCTTAAACAATGAGTGTCACAGGGGGGGACGACCCCCCGCCGTTAGATCCTGATATAGAGGAAACACATATTAATAGTAATAATTCCACTTTTGTACATACCATTGACCAAGGTCAACTAAATATAAACAATTTAAACAATAAAAATTCCAATGTAGATCGTCCAAGATATGAAAGGGCTTACAATAATAATGATCAGACTTTTTTACTTACAGTCGAATCTAATAAACAAAACATAGGAAATTTTTCACAAATTAAGATAGCAAAAGAAATTTTTGACTTAAAGCTGAAGGATATTAAAAAAATCAAAGCGCTAGGCAGAAACAAAATAGGTGTCGAATTTCTAAGCCATGAGGCAGCCAATGAATTTTTACATAATGAATTAATAAAACAAAAAGGCCTTAGGGTCTCAATTCCATTTAACTATACCTCCTGTAAAGGGGTTGTTAGGTCTGTAGATACCGAACTTGATGTTGAAACTTTAAAAAATGATATCAGAGTAAATTCCGCTTTTAAAAATTACAAAATAAAAAACGTGACCAGACTAAATAGGCGAGTGAATAAAAAATCCCCAATTAACAATTCATCTTCTGTACAAGATAATTCAAAAAATTTTGATTACGTACCCACGTACTCAATATTGGTTACTTTTGATGGCACAATACTACCAAGGTATATTGATTTGTACGGATTAGAGTTGCCAGTTTCTCCCTACATTCCTAGGGTAACACAATGTTACAATTGTTTTTTGTACGGTCATACGAGAACCTTATGCAGAGGAAAACAAAGGTGTTTTCAATGCGCAGAACCTATTACTTCAGAAAATATTCCCCACACAAACTGTGATGAAAAATGCCATCACTGCAAATCCGATTCCCATCGATCTAATTCAAAACAATGTCCCGAATTCCAAAGACAAGAACAAATTAAAAAAACAATGGTTTTCGAAAACATTTCCTACTATGAGGCTGCCTTACTAATTCCAAAAAATAACCAAACCACCAACTTTAATCTAGACCCTAGAGATTTCCCTAAACCGTTCGAAAATAGAAATAAGAACGAAAATTCAATCCCTATTAACCAACGAAGGTTTGCTGCCCAAAACAGCCACCAATCCTCAAAAAGATCTTACCAACACGCACTAGTAAACCCTACCAAAAAAAGAATTTTAGAAAAACCAGGGTACGACCATAGGCTCCACAACGAACAGTTATTTTTTCCGAACTCCAGGTCACAATTAAATCCCCAAGGAACATTCACAAATCTCCAAAGTATCCCTTCAAATTTCAAAAGACCCTCTTCAAACCTACAAGGAACTTCTTCAAACTTCCAAGGAAATTCTTCTCAATTCGACCCCTCAATCCCATCAACCTCTAGCAACACAAAATTCAACCGTCCAACAACCTCATCACAAAAAAAGCCAGAAAGTGCACTTAAATCCATAGACAAACTAAATAAAGATGAAACTTTTGATTTTATCATTAACCTAAATAAAAGTACCCAGATAGAATTGTATAGTATCCTTCAGCATATAATGGAAAGTAATCCAAATATGGATTACGAAGATTCAGATTTTTAACCATACAAGTCATTTAAAAAAAAAAATAAATAAAAATAAACCATGTTGACCTACACCCATAAGCTAACAATCCTGCAATGGAATGCCAGAAGTATAACTCACAATAGGGACAACCTAATCAGCTGTTTATGGAAACACGACCCAGACATAATACTCCTAAATGAGACCTGGCTAAAACCAGAAACCCCTTTTCATATTAAAAATTATAATATTCTAAGAAACGACCGCTATGACGGTTATGGGGGAGTAGCGATATGTATAAAAAATAATTATATCTACACTGAGATTAAAATACAAAATGACAGTCTGGAACTCTTAATAATTAAAATTAATAACTTGAACATAATGACATGCTATACACCTCATCAAATCCCTAACTTGAAAAATATACTTGAAGACATAACCTCCCAATTAGAAGGAGAAACCCTTATCATGGCAGATTTTAATGCTCACCACCCAGATTGGGGTAGCACAAGGATCAATATCAATGGCAAACAAATCGTAGAATTTTTATCGGAATATTACTGGTCTGTTTTGAACGACGGATCATCAACAAGAATCAGAGCACCCGACGAGGGACCAAGTCCTGTGGACCTCTCCATTGCAACCTTGCAAACAGCACTACGTTGCACATGGTCAGTCACTCAGGAACCTGGTTACAGTGACCATTTACCCACAATCATCAGATTCAACCAATATTCCAGACTCTCAAAATCGGATTTTAAAATCACATATCTACCCAAAAGACAGTTCACAAAAGCAAAATGGGTTCCATATTATTTAGATATTTATAAAACAACAAAAAATACAGACCAAAACCTTAACTTCAATACATTGAATGACATAATGCAAAAGGCAGCAGACCAACATATTCCCAGAACGCCGGAAAATACTAGAAACAGAACAGGAAACCCCTGGTGGGATCAAGAATGCAGCCTCAAAATAGAAGAAAGAAAAATGGCTCTAAATCAATACAATAGCCAGCCCTCCATGGAAAATTATCTTAACCTGAAACATACCATTGCAAAGGGTAGAAGATTTTTTAAAAGAAAAAAAAAAGAAAAATTTTTAAATTACGCTGCGACCCTAAACAGAAACTCTGACGTCAGGGAGATCTGGAACAAAATCAGAAAATTCGCCGGAATATATTCAACGAAAAAAGTCAAAACGCCAAACAACACCCTAAGAACGCAAATCCTAAATAACATGGAAATCACAGACATAGTCCCAGAATTCGACATCAAAAGAACTACAAAAATACAGAAATTTAATATACATGAACTTAATGCAGCCATAAGGAATAAAAAAGATTCGGCCCCTGGAATTGATGAAGTCTCTTACTCCATGATAAAAAATCTTCCCATCAACGCAAAGGAAGCCCTTCTAAACATTTACAACAGCATTCTGGGTGGAAAAGACCTCCCAGCTGCCTGGAAAGAATACCTAGTATTGCCAATAAACAAACCTGGAAAAAACCCGGACCTTGTAGAAGGCTACAGACCTATAATCTTGGCTTCCTGCTATCTCAAAGTTATGGAAATAATGTTAAAAAATAGAATTGACTGGCAGATGGAAAATAAAAAAGCATTTTCTCCGTTCCAAACTGGATTTAGGAAAAAATCCAGCGTACACAACAGCCTGGCATATCTCATCACTTACATCAATCTAGCTTTTGCACAAAATGAGGCGGTCGTGGCCATATTCCTGGACATCAAATCAGCATTTGACGCAGTTAACGTTCATAAACTTTACAAAAAACTTATATCTTACAATATTCCCCTAGAAACCTGCAACACCATATTCAAAATATTAAATAATAGACACCTCTACATCAGAAGCATCCAAAACGACATAATTGGACCAGTACATGCATCCAAAGGACTCCCTCAAGGCTCACCACTTAGCACAATTCTATTCAACATATACATGAAGGACATCTTTGAAGTATTGGACAGGGAAATAATCACTATGGCATATGCAGATGACATCGCCATTTTTACAAAAGGAAAAAATATTCCCATTCTCATAAACAAGATGAATGCAGCTCTAGAAAAAATAAATATTTGGCTCACAAATAATGAACTTACATTATCCCCAACAAAGTGCGAGCCAATGCTCTTTACCAAAGGCAAAAGGAACGGGGTTTTCCCTCCAATAACTATTCAACATCAACACTTAGCTTTTTCAGATTCCATTAAATACTTGGGTATGATAATAGATAGTC